TTCATTTTGTCCTTACTATAATTCTGGGATCAAATTTTTAATGAGCATCCTCATTTTTTCTAAGATTTTATTTATTTAGTTATTTATTTGAGAGAGAGAGCATGAGCACAAGTCAGGGGCGGTGGGGGGGGGGCGGGCAGAGGGAGAAGCAGACTCGCCACTGAGCAGGACCTGAGCCAAATGCAGACACTCAACCGACTGAGCCACCCAGGAGCCCCAAGATGAGGCAATTTAAGGGTGCCTGGCTGACTCAGTCGGTAGAGCATGCGACTCTCTTTTTTTAAGATTTTATTTTTAAGTCATCTCTACACCCAACGTCGGGCTTGAACTCACAACCCTGAGATCAAGAATTGCAGGCTTGATGTAAATTTGAGCTCTACGTTGGGTGTAGAGATTGCTTAAAAATAAAATCTTTTTTCTTTTTAAGATTTTATTTATTTATTTCAGAGAGAGAGAGTGAGCAAGCGGGCAAGCATGAGCAGGGGAAGAGGCAGAGGGAGAAGCAGACTCCCTGCTGAGCAGGGAGTCAGATGTGGGGCTTGATCCCAGGACCCTGGGATCATGACCTGAGTCGAAGGCAGAGGTCTGAGCTACCCAGGTGCCCCAAAAATAAAATCTTAAAAAAAATGAGGAAATTTAGAATAAAAGAGGATAAAATCCTAACAAAGCAGGATTCTCCCTTTGAGAGAACTCCAAGGTAGAGATAGGGCTCTTTTTAAAAACTTTAAGTTTCTGATTTTGGAGGCCTCACCCTATATTACATCAAATATTAAAAACAAAGGGAAGGGCGCCTGGGTGGCTCAGTTGGTTAAGCGACTGCCTTCGGCTCAAGTCATGATCCTGGAGTCCCAGAATCGAGTCCTGCATCGGGCTCCCTGCTCGGCAGGGAGTCTGCTTCTCCCTCCCGCTCCCCTCTCTTGTGCTCTTTCTCTCTCTCACTCTCTCTCTCAAATAAATAAATAAAATCTTTAAAAAAAGGGGGGGGAAATGTAAAAAGAACAATTTCAGGTAGTCACACGTGTGGTGTTATATAATTGGATAATGTAAATAGGGAGAGGCCCTAAGGGAATGGGGAGGGAGGAGAAGGCTACTTTGGGTCGGGTGGTCAGAGAAGGACTTTTTGAGAAGGTGACATTTGAGCTGAAACTTATGTGACCAGAAGGAACCAGTCCTACTAACACCTGGGGGCAGATTGTTCTAGGCCAAGGAACAGCCGGTGCAAAGGCCCTAAGGCAGCAACAAATTTGGCATCTCTGGAAAACAGAAAAGAAGCTTGTGTGGCTAGAAGGCTATGAGATTGAAGTGACAGCCAGAGACTAGATTCTGTCAGGTCTTGGGTCACAGTCAAGAGTTTAGGCAATGGGAAGCCATTGCGAGATGTTTTAGCACTCGAACAAATGAAACTATGTTTAAAACATTTACTTTGGGGGGCGCCTGGGTGGCTCAGTCGTTAAGCGCCTGCCTTCGGCTCAGGTCATGATCCCAGGGTCCTGGGATCGAGCCCCGCATCGGGCTCCCTGCTCGGCGGGAAGCCTGCTTCTCCCTCTCCCACTCCCCCTGCTTGTGTTCCCTCTCTCGCTGTGTCTCTCTCTGTCAAATAAATAAAAAAATAAAAAAAATAAAAAATAAAAAAATAAAACATTTACTTTGGGGCGCCTGGGTGGCTCAGTCGGTTAGCATCTGCCTTCAGCTCAGGTCACGAACCCAGGGGTCCTGGGATCGAGCCCCGCATTGGGCTCCCTGCTCAGCGGGGAGTCTTCTTCTCCTTCTCCCTCTCCCTCTGTGTTCTCTCTCTCTGTCTCTCTCTCAAATAAATAAATAAAATCTTTAAAACAACAACAACAACAAAAATCATTTACTTTGGCTGCCAAAGGAAAAGGAGGGGGGTAGAATTGAAAGAGGGGAAGAGCAACACATAGGAGATCAGAGGCTAGTGCTTTCACCCAGAGAAGACCTAACAGAGGTTTAGGTGGTGGTGGAGGCTGGAAAAGCACAGATGTATTGGAAGAGGAATCCATAGATCTCAGAGAACGACTGGATGTAAAAGGCAAAAAGAAGAATCATGAACATGGGTCCAGGAATGAAATCATCTGAAACTGGAATTGTCTCCCCAAATAGGGACTTAGTGATTGCCACAGTCTTATGCTTCTGGAAACTTCCTGGCCTTCTCTTCCCCAGATTAAAAGCCAGAGGCAAGAGTGTCCTCATTCACACCCCAGGAGTCTGGATCACCAGCAGCAAGCCAGGGGAGTTTGGAGTCCTGAGGGCTGAGTAGAGTAGGAAAACTCAGTGTTTGTGAAACAAAGAATCTGGAATCTGGCAGAGGGATGGCTCAATGGGGCTTTCAAGGGGTAAGCATGGGGTTGGAGTCACTGCTCCCACACTGAAGTCTAAAACACTGTGACCAGGAACTATTCAATCCACCTCTCTCATATGTCAAATGGCAAAACGAAGCCTTATTCAAGACCACACAGCCCAGGCCCTACTATCTGAGGAAAGATCCCTAGATAAACTGAGGGTGTGTGAAATGGCCAGCACAATCGCACAGACAGTACAGGACACAGGAACACAAACCATGGCAGTCTTGTATGGGCAGGATGGAAGCCTTGTGTACTTCATGCATTAAAGCCAGGTAAGGCTGAGTGCATAAGAATGCTTTCTTGTCTTGGCAAAGCAGCCTAGAGAGAGAGAAAGGCAAACTCCCCAGGCCTTGGGCCTGCATTCCTGAGATGGGATGAGAAGGGCTGAGGGAGGTGATCAGCAGGCCCAGGGTCAGCATGCCTGGTATGTTGGTTTTCTACTCAGGGACTAGGGCTAATCCTGGGCCCAGGGAGCAGCCTCCTGGTGGTTAGGTAGCAAGTGTTCTTAAAAGGCCACCTTCAGAAGGGCAGATTTTCTTTTTTTCTTTCTTTCTTTCTTTCTTTCTTTCTTTCTTTCTTCTTTCTTTCTTTCTTTCTTTCTTTCTCTCTCTCTTTCTTTCTTTTCTTTCTTCCTTCCTTCCTTTTTAAAGATTTTATTTATTTGACAGAGAGAGAGAGTGCACACAAGCAGGGGGAACAGCAGGCAGAGGGAGAGGGAGAAGCAGGCTCCCCACCAAGCTGGGAGTCTGATGCAGGGCTCAATCCCAGGACCTCAAGATCATGGCCTGAGCAGAAGGCAGATGCTTAACCGACTCAGCCACCCAGGCACCCCTAGAAAGGCAGATTTTCTTATGAGAAGCTTCCAAATTCCACTCTGCTATGGCCCCAGGGAGGCCTTGTGCCTACTCTTGGGGGACTCCTTCCATGTAACTAATTCACAAAGATGCTTCCCCAGCAACTCATGCCCCAGAGTCAAGGCCCTGTGGGGTAGGCCCCAGTTTGTGGCCCGTACCTCGGACTGTGGACCGTCTCCTCCCTTTTTCTGTTTGTTTTCAGTCCTCTGACCCCAGGTTGGCTGGTGAGGTAGGCAGAAGGGAGGAGACTCTGGTGCCAACACACACACGTGGCCTCCTGTGTCCCCCAGTCTCAGTGGCTGGTCAATGATTGACTGGCATTTCACAGGCTGCTGGTTTCAGACCCCAGCCTGTTGACCCTCAGAGGTCACCTCCCTAAGCCAGAGCCCCCAGCGGTCTGGCCCTACACTTCTACCACCCACAGGCCCAGTACCTCCTCCAGAGAATTTCATGCATCTGCCCTCTGCCCCTCGTTGGCTCTCCTCTGCCCTGCAGTTGCCCCTCTCCTCCTGCCTCCCTCCCCGCAGGCCCCTCACCGGACCCTTCTGGCAAACTCTCAGGCTCCTCCAGCAGCCCCTTCCCTTCCCCCCTGAGGCCCCCCTCAACCTCTGTCCCTTAGACATCCTCTTCCCTTGGCTCTCCCGCCAGGCCCTGCTGGAGGGGCTGTTGAGGGGAGAAGCGAATCAGCAGCGCCCACCCCTGCCCCCCTTCCCCGCCTCTTGTCAAACACCAGACAAGGTTTTTTCCCCCTTCCTTCCCGGCTCTGAATGGACTCATTCTCTTTGGAAGACTGGCCCCTCTCGAGCCTCCTCCCCAGGCGTGAGTTCTGACCCCGCTCCTCCCCCATCCTCACTCCCGGCCCCGCCGCCGCCGGCCCCGCCTTCTCTGGGCAGCCCACTGGGACTGAGCATTGTCTCCACAGTTTTTGTTTTTGTTTTTTTCCCCCCTGGGATCTGGGATGCGCAGAGGGTGTGCTTGTTGGCTGGGTGGGAGTTAGGGAGTGGGAGGGCATGGGATCTTTGTGGGGGAAGGACTGGTAGTTACCCGGATATCTTGGAGAGCACTTCTCCGGCTCCTCTGGTGGTGGGGGGGGGGCAGGGAGGGTGGGTTCATGGTACCCTTTATTCCCGGCTCTGGAGCAGAACACATGAAGCTAAAACCTTCTGGCTCAGTTTCCCTTAGTTCCCTTGGAATTTCAGGGTTCCTTTTAAGCAAAATGGGGAAAGATAACATCCTCCTCTGACATCCCAGGACTCAGCGACATGAGGAGTGTGGCTCCAGGACAGACAGGGGCATGGAGGATGGGTCCAGTAAAGGAGGTTCCACAGCAGCTTTCCTGGATGGACAAACCCTCCTAACACCAGGGCACTGGAGGGTAGGACCTGGGGGAGAAGGGACATCTCTAACACTGACCCTAACACCCTGATGGTCTCTCTTTTTTTTTTTCTTAAACATAACAAACAAGATTTTTTATTTGTCACCATTAAATGTCTGAATTTTAAACAGATTCTTGGACTGGTGGCTCATATCCATCAGCCCGTTCAACTTTAGCACCGGTCTCATCCCCAGTAGCTTTTCCAGAACTACTACCTTCACCATGAAGCTCCATGAGCTTTCCCAATTCAAACTTGGGCTTCTTCAGCATTTTTACTTTTCTAACGAAGACATCGTGGAGTGGATAAATAGACTGACAAGCCTTTTCTATATCTTTTCCAATGCTGTCTGGAATCAATTTATTGACCATTTCTTTCAAGTCATTTGTTTGCACCTCTCGGGTCATGACTTCCATCATCTTTTTCCAAATTTGATGGACCTGTTGGTGCTGAGCATAAGAGGTCTTCCGAATCTGATTATTGCGTTTTTTAGTAAAACCAACACAAAACAGGCGAAGCAAATAACCATCGGTAGTCTTGACATCAACATGACCTTCAATCATGGCCTGCCATTTTTTGACCATGGAAGCACATTTTGTCACGGGTAAGATCCATGCCATGGAAATTAGTCAGGCAGTTTTTGCCCTGAACACCCTCAGTAATTAGCTTGAATTTTCTAAACGCAACTTCATCATTCTGCAGATCAGCAAGGCTTACTTCAAAAACATGACCCTTGAGGCCATCAGATGCAATTTTGGTTCCTTGAGTTCTTGTGACTGATGTTTTTTCAATACTTCTTATATTGAACATAGCCGGTGCTTTCACATCATACCAATCTTTCTTAGAAAATGGATCAACCACTTTCTTCTTGGCCCCCTTTTTGCCGCCTTTCGTTAGGTGCTTGTTCTTGCCGACCGCCATGGCTCAGGGAGCCAAAAGGCCTGATGGTCTCTTGAAGAGCGAGTCCTCCAGTGTGTCCAGCGAGTGACTGTTGGAGCCAGGTCCAATGTCTCCTCTCCCTGAGGGCTGAGAGGCACCTTGACTAGGTCCCTGGGTTTGGGTTTGTGATAGGTGAGGGTGATGGACTGGTTTTGGCTATCTGTTCACCTTTTCCCTCATTAGCCCTGAGACAGATGCTCCTGGGCAAATTGGTTAACTCACGTGAATGTCTTCTCCTTGATCCCATCCTCACACCAATCAACTCCAACTCTAAGGCTAGAGAAAATAGGGGTGTTGATGCCCATCCTGAAGGGCTGCTGTGGTGTCGCCCCACACAGCAGTATTTCTTGAAAGTTTGAGACTATTATCCAAGGAATAAATCCATCGTATATCATCCACCCAAGACACACATACCCTTACCGACACTAATATGTGATGAGCACGATTTCTATTCCATTCTATTAAAAAAAAAAGACTTGTCTTGATCATCTAAATTGGTTTGATGACTGACCTTCCAAGAGAACCTAACCTGAAGTTTGCACATTGCTAGTTAGAGCCAGCGGTGGACTCTTACCATGGTGTTCAAGAAGGGTAAGGGGAGCCTGGGTGGCTCAGCTGTTAAGCGTCTGCCTTCGGCTCAGGTCATGATCCCAGGGTCCTGGGATCGAGCCCTGCATTGAGCCCTGCCTCGGGCTCCCTGCTCAGCGGGAAGCCTGCTTCTCCCTCTCCCACTCCCCCTGCTTTTGTTCCTTCTCTCTCTGTCTCTCTGTCAAATAAGTAAATAAAAAAAAAAAAAGAAGAGGAAGCCTCAGGCTCCTCATTTGCATATATGTATCTAATTTTGTGCTCATACTTTGTATTTTTTTTTTAAGATTTTATTTATTTATTTGACAGAGAGAGACACAGCGAGAGTGGGAACACAAGCAGGGGTAGTGGGAGAGGGAGAAGCAGGCTTCCCGCCGAGCAGGGAACCCCATGCGGGGCTTGATCCCAGAACCCTGGGACCATGACCTGAGCTGAAGGCAGATGCTTAACGACTGAGGCACCCAGGTGCCCCTGTATTTCTTATCTTGAAGAGAGTCCCCCAAATTTCATAGGCTTCCGGCACCACCAAACCTGGATCTGCCCCAGTATAAGTAAACCTGCGACTTTATTGAGCAAGTACCTTGTGCTACATACTGTTCGGAGTGCTTCAGGAATGTTATCTTCTTTAATTCCTAGTACAGAATGCCAGATGCTATTCTACAAGGGAGCAAACTGAGACCCAGAGAGGCTTGGTCATTTGCCTAAGGTCATACAGCTAATATGTGGCAGATTGGAGATTTGAACCCAGGTCGTTCTGATCACAACCCCCCTACTGTGAAAATGGCTGCCTATAACCCTGCTAGGAAATATGAAAGCAGCTTAAGAAATGCTAGTGAAAGCAGCTTAAGAAATGCTAGTGTCCTTCATTCAACCGTCTTCAGTAGATGCCTCCGATCCCCTCTTGACCAGCACAGGCATGCTCTGCTCTTGGCTGAGGCATTCCAACTAGAGTTGCCAGATGTAGGAAATAAAAAATAAGGATGCCCAGTTAAATTTGAATTTCAGATAAACAACGAATAATGTGGGGCGCCTGGGTGGCTTAGTCGTTAAGTGTCTGCCTTCGGCTCAGGTCATGATCCCAGGGTCCTGGGATCGAGCCCCGCATCGGGCTCCCTGCTCAGCGGAGAGCCTGCTTCTCCCTCTCCCACTCTCCCTGCTTGTGTTCCCTCTCTCGCTGTGTCTCTCTCCGTCAAAAAATCAATAAAATCTTAAAAACAACAACAACAGGGGCGCCTGGGTGGCTCAGTTGGTTAAGCGACTGCCTTCGGCTCAGGTCATGATCTTGGAGTCCCTGGATTGAGTCCCGCATCAGGCTCTCTGCTCAGCAGGGAGCCTGCTTCTCCCTCTGACCCTCCCCCCTCTCATGTGCTCTCTCTCTCTCATTCTGTCTCAAATAAATAAATAAAATCTTAAAAAAAAAATAATAAATTAAAACAACAACAACAACAACAAAACCGAATAATGTGTTAATTAAGTATGTCCCATGCACTTTTGGTTGTAATTTCCAACGGAAACACACCTTCCTTCTGTCACCCCCACTCCATCCGCCACTGGACCTTAAGAAGGGGGAGAAGGGGGCTCCAGATGGAAAATGCCAAGTGGGGAGGCGGAATTGAACACGCTAGTAAAAAGCAAGGGACAGGAAAGGAACTTTGGATGAATTGGGTGCTGAGTGTCCCCCCCTAAACCCAACAGAGGAATGTTCTCCAGAAGATTGAGATGGATGAGCCTCCGATTTGACTCTCCTCCAAACGTGTAGACCCCCGTAATTAAAACTGTGCTTTTCAGACTGGAAAAGATACCTAAAAGATTCGAGAAGGTATGCCAGGGAGTCCCGGAAGCCACGAGTTGAGCGCACCCCACCCACCTCCTCTACTATCAATTTGATTTGAGGATGTGGTGGGAGAACCAGTATTTGATACTTTTAAAAATAGGCGTATGATGGAGTAGGATGCAAACGTCTTGCCGGGAACGTCTATGGTAAAACCTGCGACTTAAAGGAACGTTAAGGATGGCAGCCTGAAGCATTTGCCCCAGACTTCCCCCCCCCCCCCGGTGTGGGTGTGTTGGGGGTGGCGATCGCCGTCCCCTGCCTTAGGGTGCTCCGTGGGAACGCGTGAGAAGCGCGCAGGCAACCCCGGCGTCCGGGCGCCGGGAGGGGCGCACCCCAGGCCTGCGCGCCGAGGGAGAAAGTGAAGCTGGGAGTTGCCACTCCCAGGGACTCGCTGGAATGCGGTGGAGGGGGTGGGGGGGCGAGCCGTGAGCGCGCTCGCTCCCAATCACGGGAGGCGGAGGAGGTGGAGGAGGAGGGCTGCCTTGAGGAAGTACAAGAATGAAGTTGTGGAGCTGAGAGTCCCCTGCGTCGTGCCCCGAGAGCCAAGCAGAGCCCCGCGGCAAGCCGCCCGGCCCCTTCGCAGCCCGGTCCAGCCCGAGCCATGGGGCCGGAGCCGCAGTGAGCACCATGGAGCTGGCGGCCTGGTGCCGCTGGGGGCTCCTCCTCGCCCTCCTGCCCTGCGGAGCCGCGGGCACCCAAGGTGGGTCTGGCGTGGGGAGGGCGCGGAGCAGCGACGCGACCCTGCAGCCCGGCGCCCCCCCCCCCCCGCCCAAGTCCCCGGGCAGGCGGGGGCAGAGGGGGCCACACGAGCTTCCCGATCCGCAGTTTCGGACGCTCCCGGCGCGCCCGGCCGCCGGCCTCGGCAGGGAGGGGGCCAAAGGAAGGTGGGGCAGGGGGCGAGGACGCCCAAGCGGCTCTAGCTGTCCCAGTCAAGAGACTGGCGCTTTCCGGACTCCGCGACGGCTCTGGGAACTTGTCACAAAAGTTCTCTGAAATTGTTCAGAAAGTTTGCCCTGCGTGGGATGTGTGTGTGTGTGTGTGTGTGTGTTTTCTCCCCTGTCTTGAGCCCCTCCAAACTTTCTCAAAGCCTTTCCAGTTGGCAGCCTCCGCCTCCAGACTGGACTGGGCTGGATTCCTCGGGGGGTCCCTCTGCCCCTCCCCCTGCCCCCCTCTCCGCAGCCGGTAGAGTTTAGTTCCTCCAGCTTCAGGCAGGATCGGGGTGTGTGTGGGGGGGGTGGGGGGTGGGGGGGAAAACAACCTGTCCGGCCAGAGCCGGGCGGGAGAGAGTGGCCGGTCCGACTGCAGAGTTGCCTCATGCTGGAGTCTGAGGTGGGGGGAGGGGGAGACGTTTGTTTTGAGCAAGTTTCTTTAGGGCCAGCTCAGGGACTGTGCGCTTTGTGACTTTTGGAGAGCGTGGGCCACGGAGGGGTGGTGGTGGGTCTCCTGGTCTGGGGCATAGAGTGCCAGAGTTTCAAGCGAGCGATTCCTGGGCAGTTGTGGGGGGTGGGGTGGAGAAGGAAAGCTAAAGAAATAGGGCCAGATGCGGGTAAGCAGGGGGCTGGGTTGTCCTGCCTTTCCCTTCATGCTGTGTGTGGGGGAAGCGTGGTGGTGGAGGCAGTGTGGGTTAAGCCCCACTTGCCCATCTAGATGCACTGACAATTAAAGCTAACGTGGGCTGGAAATATACTCTGGGCCAGGCACGGTGCATGGTGGTTTGCATGCATTCCCTCCTTTAAATCCTCACACCAAACCTACAAGAGGAGTCCTACTAGTATTCCCATTTCCAGGTGAAAACCTGGACTTAAAGAGGCTAAATAGCATCAAGGAAGTGGTGGGTCCAAGACTGGATCCCAGACGCTGCGACCCCCCCAACCACACGTTCGAAATCACTGTATCAGTCTACCTTGGACAATGGCGGACACCGCTGCCTGCATCGCTGGGCTGCGGGGAAGACAAAATGAGAGTGTCCTGGGAGTAGTGGGTGGTCTCCGTTGGTCAGGGAGTCTGGAGAAGGGGTGGGTGTCGTCCTGTGTGTTGCCCGAGGGCCCCTCTGTCTGAGCATTGCTGGGTTATCTGAGGGACGTCTATGCCAGGGTGTTCCTGGGTTGTGTGGCCTGTGTGTGTGTCTGGGCTTTGTGTTGCCAAACAGCAGTCTCCCTGCTGGCTTGGGGACTTCGCTGAACTCTGCCCTCTCAAGGAACTCGCTCAAGGTGCTGGGCCAGATCTGCTGTAAACAGCGGGAGGTGGCCCCACGCCTTCTTTCTGAGGAAGGAGGCTCCACTTTCCTGGGAGCCCATCCTTCTCCCTGTTTCTCAGCCCTGACCTTCTGCTGAGATGGCTGAGGCCGGGCTGCACTGTGAGAGCGAGCTGCTGCCTCCCTCACCTGGGCCTGCGGGTTGAGCAGGTGGAGGTGGCCTGGGTTGCTGCAGTGCTGGGATCCAAGGGCTCAGTTCTCCCACTGACGACTAGGGCCTCCTCAGGTGGATCTCACCCTTCCATGGGCACTGCTGGGTGCAAAGACAGATGTTGGGCGTGTCAGGTAGAAAATGGTTGCAATGGAAGC